CTACCTCCAAGTGCATCAAAAACCCAACAGCGCACCGAAGCCACCCTGTGGCACAACTCAGTATTACCACATTAATTTCCACTCATTTCAGCTGGACAACTAGAAAATCTTATTTACTCTTTCACAAAATGAAAAATAGGAAGGAAATTGATAAGGTGAAATAAAAAGCCTTCAAATCATTTTTATGACAGATTTTTATCCCTAGAACACTCTCTATTCTATTCTGCTCATTTGGTACACAGCATGTACAACCATGTAGTGGTTCATTTTTTAGTATGTTCAGGCGCTAACTTTCCAAATAAGTATAAGAGCAGGGTCTATGTACTTTAACAATGACTTCCAAATTTGACTGACTGCAGCCCAGAGCCTACATAAAAACTGAAAGAAAATTTCTCAAACAATACCTATTCAGAGTGATATTTTCTAGTTTTATATTATTCATGTTTTAGAAAGATTGCTGCAACCTCTAAACTGATTTCATGACCCAGAGATTAAAGAATCACACCCTCAGTTTGAAAACTGTGCCACCATGTGCAATTCTGTGATGGGAGATGAACACAGGCTTTTACGTTTTTGTTAGGACTATGAAGCTCAGGACAGAGGAAGACACAGGGCTGTTTTCAACAGGGGCTCTGAATGAAGTCTATCTGAAAGTACTAAAACTGGCTATAGGATCACAAACATTCTTTATAGCCTTGGACAAATTAAGGAACAGTAACTGAAAACTGCATGACTACACGAATCTAATGTCTACAAGGAGTTAGAAAAGGGGATTTAGAAAACCTCAGCTTTAGTTCAATAGGCACTGAAAAGAAATTAAAAAAGAAAGAAAGAAACTCCAGGTCTTTCATGGATATGACACCAAAGGTGCAGGCAACAAAAGAAAAAACAGAAAAATTGTACTTCACGAAAATTAACAAATTTTATGCATCAAAAGACAGTGGATCAACAGAGTAAAAAGTAAAAAGGCAGCCCACAGAATGGGACAAAATATTTGCAAATATACATCGGATAAGGGATTAACATGCAGAAAATATAGGGAACTCCTAAGACTCAACAACAAAAGAACAAGCAACTCAAAATGGGCTATAGACTAGAATAGACATTTCTCCAAAGAAGACAAACAAATGGCTGATAAGCACATGAAAACATGTACTTATCACTAATCATTATTAATATCACTAATCATTAGGGAAACACAACACAAAACTATAATGTGATACCATTTCACACCCATTAGGATAGTTAATTAAAAAAAAACAAACAGAAAATAAGTGTTGGTAAGGATGTGAAGAAATGGGAACTCTTGTGCTCTGTTGGTGGGGATGTAAAATAGTTCAGTCACTGAAAACAGCACGGTAGCACTTCAAAAGTTAAAAACAGAACCACCATATGATGCAGCAGTTCCACACTGGGGTATATACCCAAAAGGACTCAAACAGATATCTGTGCACCCATGTTCTCTGCAGCATCACTCACAACAATGAAAAGGTACAAACAAGCCGGTGTCCACAGATAAATGAATGGATAAACAAAATGTAGTATATACATATAATGGAATATTATTCAAGCCTTAAAAGGAAGAAAAATCTAACATACATGAGTGAATCTTGAGGACACTGTGAGAAGTGAAATAAGCCTGTCACAAAAAGACAAACACTCGAACTCCTGAGCTCAAATGATCCGCCCACCTCGGCCTCCCAGAGTGCTAGGATTACAGGCGTGAGCCACCACGCCCGGCCAAAAAATACTATATGAGTCCACTTATATGAGGTACTTAGAGTAATCCAATTCACAGAGACAAAATAGAATGGTAGTTGCCAAGGGCCATGGGGAGGGAGGATGAGGAGTTGTTTAATGGGTAGAAAGTTTAAATTTAGGAGATGAAAAAGTTCTGGAGATGGTGGTGATGGTAGCACAATTATTGATGCACTTAATGCCACTGAACTGTACACTTAAAAAATGGTTAAGGTAGTAAATTATGTATATTATACCACAGTAAAAAAAAATTGGGGGGCAAACACCAGATACATTGTCACTGTCCATTTCAATTCTAGAATCCATTACTAAAAAGTTAATATGGGATTTCAAAGAGCCAATACAGGCTCATTAAGTACAAACTCACAACGAAATGAGCTCAGTTTCTTGTTCTGAAAAGGTTCTTAGATTCACTGGTTAGAAAAACCCCCAAATATGACATATCTTAATGACTGCAAGGCATGTGACAGAGTCATCAAAATGTAGAATTTTAGATCTAGAAAGAGTTTATCATTTTGCAAGTAAAAAAAAAAAAAGAAAATCCAAACAGAAGAAGCCAGAAGCTTGAGGTCACTGAATGAGCTAGAGTAAGAGTTGAGCCTAGAATGTAGGTCTACTGTACTTATTTGACGGCCTCAAATAACTTCTTCCATCTCCTCTGATACCCCTGTGGGTGTGATGAAGGAAATGATGAGTTTGGCTGACTATTAGCTGGAGAACCACTCTGCCCATAGCACTTTGGTGGGTCAGCATCAGCTTAGATGGAGATCTCCAGGAGCTACCAGAGGGCTTTGTCCTCAGCCTAGTCTGGCTTAACATTTTTACCAACAACAAAGGAAGTATGTTGATCAGACCTTCCCATGACAACACAGGAAAGATATGGTAACATGCTGGGCTCCAGAATCAGAATTCAAAAGGTTTCTGGAAGCCTGAATTGATAGAACCAATAAGACCAAGATGAGATGCAAAAGAGCTATATGTAAAGTCCTGTATTTGGACTGAAAAACCAATTAGAGGGTTCCAGTTAAATAAGCTGGAGCAAGTTTCAAATGCTATAAGTAGGTTAAAATTTAAAGGGATTGCTGGGCATGGTGGCTCAAAACTGTAATCCCAGCACTTTGGGAGGCTGAGGTGGGAGGATCACTTGAGGCCAGGAGTTCAAGACCAGCCTGGGCAACATAGCGAGACGTCCTCTCTACCAAAAAAATCTAAAAAAAAATTTTTTTTTTTTTTGAGACAGAGTCTCGCTTTGTTGCCCAGGCTAGAGTGAGTGCCGTGGTGTCAGCCTAGCTCACAGCAACCTCAAACTCCTGGGCTCGAGTGATCCTTCTGCCTCAGCCTCCCTCCCGGGTAGCTGGGACTACAGGCATGCGCCACCATGCCCGGCTAATTTTTTTTTTTATATATATATCAGTTGGCCAATTAATTTCTATTTATAGTAGAGACGGGGTCTCGCTCTTGCTCAGGCTGGTTTCGAACTCCTGACCTTGAGCAATCCGCCCGCCTCGACCTCCCAAGAGCTAGGATTACAGGCGTGAGCCACAGCGCCCGGCCTAAAAAAAAATTTTTTAAAGGACGGAAACACTTCCACAAGAGCAGAGTAAGGACATCCAAAGATTTGCTCCTCCACCAAAGCAACAAGAACACTGGTAAAAATTATAAAAATCAACTTTTTCAGAACTCTGGAAATGCTCCCTGGATTGAGAAAAACACCTGAATCTCAGTAAGGACAATGAGCTCTGTGGCATTTTAATTTCTCTTCCCCTCTCCCCACCTCTGAGGTAGCCCCGAAAACCAAGAGCCTCACAACCACAGTAGCTGCAAAAACCAGCACCCACTGGAGGAGGCAGAGCATGTTGGGAGCTCCTCAAAAGTTCCACCCCCAGAGCAATGTCCCTTTTTGACCGGTCTGGCGGCTCCCTGGAAACTTGTACCCACGAGACTTGTCTTCAATTGACCTGGCTCAGAGCTCTGCTCAATGTGAACAGCTTTTTCCCCAGGGTGTTTGTCAAAACCAATCAGTGACAACTGTAGAACATCGTTGCTTGGAGGCAGCAATAACAGTTGAAGTAAACAATAAACTGACCAAAAAGCTCAGGAGGAAAAGCTGGGACTCTAGAAGGCCACATGCATATGCACAGCAGTGCATGTGTCCAAGAAAGACCCGCAAAGGCCCTGCTCTCTCACCCGGTTGCCCCTGAGGCTTTGTGCAAGCAGGAAGTGAAGGACGAGGCCAATGGTAAATGGCCTGCAGGGCACCGAAGGTGTGCGCCAACACACACAGAGCCGCTTGGCAAAGCCTGGGAGACTTACTGGTTCAAGGCATTTAAGGAAACCGCTTATCTTCAGCTGACCACTAAGACCAGACAAGTGCCACCTTGTTCCGCTTCCTCCTGCTCTGAACACAGTTGTGCTGCCAGGAGCTGTGGCAGCCACCTCACCCCCTCAGGGTGAAGGCCAAGAGAAATGCAGGGCACTGGCCATACTGCTGTGCCATAGCAGGATGCCACCTACCACCAGATTTCTCGTCATGTAAAAAACCTAACTCCTCTTTGTCTAAGTACTGTTAGCTGAACTTTGTTTCTTTTAGCAAAAAGCATTCTTTACTAACCTGGCAAGTACCTCGATCACAGGCAAAGAGACACAAAAAGACTTCTGCTAGGAAGCTGGGACAGCCTCTCAAATCTTTCTTCCTGGACTAAAATGAGGCAGGATGCAGCCCTGGAGAGCTACTAGAGGTACCTCAAAACCACAATGAGACACAAACCTGCCTACCGACAGGAGGCCAGGGGACAGAGGGAGAGACATGAATAACCAATGTCACCAAGTTCCCTTGCCAGCTATGCCTGAAGAAAGGTCTGTCCTGGACCTAACATGAGCCAATGTTTTTCTTTCTTTCTTTTTGTTAGAAACGGGGTCTTGCTCTGTTACCCAGGCTGGAGCACAGTGGCCTAATTATAGCCCACTGCGGCCTCGAACTCCTGGGTGATCCTCCCACCTCCCTCGCTGGGATTACAGGTGTGAGCCACGGTGCCCGGCCTGTATCTTCCTTTTTTGCTTAAGCCAGTTTGGCCTCCTGACGCTTGCAATTAGACAAGTTCTCACCAATACAAATAGGCTGGTATTTCTTCAGTGGCCAGGCAACCAGCCCTGAACCTTAAATCTCAGTGTTTCCTGACAGTTCAGCCACTGTGACCAATGCGAGAGAAAGGCTATGACAAAGAAAAGTAGGCACCACTCACCTTCTTCTTGTTTCTTCTGTTCAAGTTTCATCTTCTTTGCCAATAATTTCTTCTCTTTCAACTTCTGGCTACAAATGTAAAACAAATACATTGATCTCTTAACTGCCTAAAAATTTGTATATTTTATAAAATAAACACCTACTTATGGTATCTTTAAAAACTTTATAATAATACAAACATTACAATAACAAAATAAAAGAAATACTTTCCTGGGGAATCCTGAGGTGATTACAGCAATCTCAGAAATACTGAGATGCTTTTTCATTCCCAGATATTTAGATACTGTTTTTAGAATCCTGCTCAGCTCTCTAAAAGTTGTGGGACCATTTATTTATTTAAAACCTGTATATACATATGTACACACACACAAACACACAGTCTATATAACCAGGCAGTCACTTACGGAGGTCAAGGACCCTAATTTAAGGAACAAGCTAAATGGGAAGTGTGGGCACGGCACTTTTGTTAGACCTGACATTAAAATACAGAAGTGAGGCTGGGTGTGGTGGCTCACACCTGTAATCCTAGCCCTTTGGAGGCCGAGGCGGGCCGGATTGCTCAAGCGTCAGAGTCAAACCAGCCTGAGCAAGAGCGAGACCCCGTCTCTCACTATAAATACAAAGAAATTAATTCGCAACTGACGTAATTAATATTTAAAAAATTAGCGGGCATGGTGGCGCATGCCTGCTAGTCCCAGCCTACTCGGGAGGTTGAGGCAGAAGGATACATCACTCAAGCCCAGGAGTCTGAGGTTGCTGTGGAGCTAGGCTGACGCCACGGCACTCACTCTAGCCTGGACAACAAAGCGAGACTCTGTCTCAAAAAAAAAAAAAAAAAAAAAAAAGGCTGCGGCGCAGTGGCTCACGCCTGTAATCCTAGCACGCTGGGAGACTGACGAAGGTGGATTGCTCGAGGTCAGGAGTTCAAAACCAGCCTGAGCAAGAGCGAGACCCTATATCTACTATAAATAGAAAGAAATTAATTGGCTAACTAATATATATATAGAAAAAAAAATTAGCTAGGCATGGTGGCGCACGCCTGCAGTCCCAGCTACTCGGGAGGCTGAGGCAGGAGGATGGCTTGAGCCCAGGAATCTGAGGTTGCTGTGAGCTAGGCTGATGCCATGGCACTCACTCTAGCCTGGGCAACAAAGTGAGACTCTGTCTCAAAAAATAAAATAAAATAAAATACAGAAGTGAAAGAGACACAGAAATCAATGTGGTCACCAAAGTCCTAACTTCTAAGCTTTGGAAAATCTGTAACAAATTAGAGGGCAATGAGGGACTTGCTCTCTGCTCAGGTACTGGAAGCAAAGTCATTCCTCTACTGGGCCGTGTCACCTTAGGTTGTTAACACCCACAATCTCTACAGATTACACAGGTGAGCTTTGGCCTGCAAGGACCCAGCTAATCCATCACCTACCCACTGTCCTAAGTCTCACTTCAGTTATGGGAGGCCACGACCTCTTACCGCTTTTTCCGCCGCTTTGCAGTCTGCTCTTCTGCGGCAATTTTATTCTTTTCCAGTCTCTTCTGGAACTCTGCATCCAATTTTTGCTGCAAAACACCCACATCATTTATACACATTCTCATCTGGGTGGACTTAAGGAGGTTTCACTAGGGCGAGGTATGAGGGCTCTAGAAGTCACACCATTGGGGGCGCTACAGGAAGTACCCAGGTCCCCAGAGCCCCTCAGGGCAGGGAATCAGTATATGGCTGATGGCAAAGTAACTCTTTCAGTTTACTGAGATACTGCTCAGCCACAACAAAACATAAAAGAGAAAGTGTGAGAGGGAACACAGAGGACTCCTTGAAGGCAGAAGCTGTTGTGACTGTCTGTTTAGACAGGGCCTGGGACACTAACAATGGCCAGAGGGCCAGAACTATGTAATTTTCAAGCCCTAACCCTCGCTGCAGTTACCAAATAACACACACCATCTGCTGCCAACACTGGCTACTAAACACACACGTATGTATTGTATTAATATTATTTCTTCTCAGCAGTTCTGTTTCCAGGCCTCAGTTTCTTCATCTATAAAATGGGGGAAATTATAACTCCTCTCTCCCAAAGGAAAAATAATGAAATAAGATAATCTACAGAATACACCCATAAACTACAAAGACATCTACTGCTATAAAGTGTCATTTCTCATTTCTTCCAGTCATAGCCATAAAGGGCAACAGGGTATAAAAGAAGGAGCTGGCAAACAAAGAAGAAGTGCCTCCAGCACCTCGGCTGGTCTGCACTGCCAGGGCTGTGTGGATCAAATTAGAGTGGCACGGAAACCAAACAGCAGAAGCCCTCTCTCTAGGGGCAAAAAATATCCCTTCAGGAAGGAAACCAGCTTTAAATAGAAGACAACCATAAAGCATGCAACTTAAATCTAAAAGCACTTGGTTTGTTTAGAAGCTAAGCCATAAAGGTCTTGCTCTGTGCTAAAGAAGATGAATTTACCAGCAAGTGAACTAAACAGAGATAAACAAGAGAGCCTCAGTTGGTTGCTGCACTCGGCGGAGGCAAGGTCTCAGGCATGAGTAAGTCAGACCGTGCTGGCGGTGACAACTGCCTACCAGTCACTGGAAAAAGACGAGGGTTGCTTACCTCTTTGTATTTGTATGAATGTCAGGTTTGTGACACATTTTTCTGTATTTTCTCTGGATAGTAAACCAATATATTAAAAACTTCAAGCTAATTTATGGTGTTTGAGACAACAACCTGCTTGATTTCCTCCCCTCTACAGTAGTTTAAAAGTAAGTTTCTCAAACAGGAGTGCAGGATGTAGAAAAAAAAGAAAAGAAAAACAAAAAAAGAAAGACAAGTATTTCTGATGATTTCTATATACAGATCATTATTTCTGACAGTGGCAAACCCACAGCTGTGTGACAAGACACCTGAAACTTCCCACTAAGATTGAGAATGTCACCACCAGAAGATTGTAGTAGCTAGAGAAGAACCACCACCATCTAGGGGCCAAAAAAGGTTGCAGGACAAGCAAATATTAAGTGAAAACTAGCACAGCAATGACCCCATTCTGTTCCAAAACCAGAAGGATTTTTTCAAACTCAGCTTTGGCTATTCCAACAAATTCTTACATATTTTCTTTTGTATCTTGGCTGTCTCTTGGTTTAATATTTTCTCTAATGTCTTATTTTGAGAATGTCAAACACAGAAAAGTTAAAAAAAATTATGTGATACCTATACCCACTACCTTGATTCAACAATTATCATTTGCTATACTTTCTTTATCACATGCCTATCTATGTATGCCTCTATTTATCCATCAATCAATCTTATTTTTTTGGTGCATTCCAAAGTAGCTGAAGACATCAGGACATTCCATTCTTAAACAATTAAGCATGCACATCATTAAATAGAACTTAATATTTGTTGACGGTTCTTTTCTTTTTCCTTTTAAGGTAATACACAGAACAAAAGCCCAGATCTTGAGTGTACAGTCTGATCATCCCAGAAAGTCCCCTCATGCCTCTTCCCAGTCAACCCCTGATCTTACCCCCTAGAGACAACCAATGTTCTGACTTTTTCTCACACTGACTAGGTTTTTCCTGTTCTAGAACTTCAATCACACAATATGGTCTCTTTTGTGCCAGACTTCTTTCACTCAGCTTGTTTTAAAGAATCATCCCAGTTGTTGCATGTATCAGTAGTTTGTGCCTTTTTATTACTACGTAGTACTCTATTTTATGAATGTTTAATTTTTAAAAGCCTTTTGTTTCTTTATATAGGTAGAAATTCTCTAGAGTCTGATTTTCTTTTTTACCAAATTATTGGAATGGCAAATGCTATTGGGCTAAGTGGCTTCCTCTCTCATAAAATGCAGACAAATAACTATCATTTTGAAGTATCTGAATCTCTCTTGTATGTACAAATGTGCTCTTTGAAATAAAAAGCATCATGACTATAGTGAGGAAAAGGACTTTTTGGGGGCACGTTCTAGATTAATAACAAGGAGCGATTCCTCATGTAGTGCTGGGAGAAATCAGATGTATATTTGGGAAATCAAAAGGAATTAGCCAAATAACATTTGATTTTTATTAATAGTAAGATGGGCAAATATAGGAGCACCATACAAAAGTCGGTATATTTTCTTCTGATTCTAATAGTCAGTTAAAAAATATAATGGGTCACCCAGCACCACTGTAGTCAAAAAACTTAGAATACCTTTGAACCAATGTGGGGAGAGAGAGTCAAAATCTCTACAAATCATTGAAAGATACAAAAAGATTTACACCAATGAAAAAAAGATACAAAGATTCTAGATGAGATGAGTAAACATTTTAGCATCCATTCTCATTCAAGGTAAATTACAGATTCAACTCAATTCCAGCCAAAAATCATGTAAGATTTTTGGTGGGGATTAAATAGCTCCAAAATTCAATTACAAAAATAAAAGGAGTAAAATGCCCCAAAGGCACTTTTAGAGAATATCAGGAGAGATGTTTCTGGCCCCTTCAGCCAAATAATAGAAAGCTTAACAGCTCTTAAAGCACAATTTCTTAAGCAATTCTCGAGCTCTTAAAATAATTTATTATTTGACATCTATCATGAAAAATACCAGCCCCAAAGTTAGAAAACCCAAATCCTCAAAGGAGAAGACACATTGAAAGCACACTACTATTCACACCAAACACACAGCTATCTGCATTTAGGCATTTAGCCAAAAAGAGAGCAACAGAGAAATAACTGAGGGAGTGGGAGACCCTGCTTGCTGTTTTCTGACATAGCAAATGGCCTAGCAGGGAGAGGGGATGCTGCCATGCCCTGTCATACACAAGGAAGACTCCCACCCTCGTCCCTCTCCTAGCGTGAGCATCCTGCTGGGCTGACGCTGACCTGGGTCATCTGGACCCTGCTTTCCATGCCAGCTGTAAGGGCAGACCTCACACAAGTCCCAATCAGCATATCTACTCTTCCTCAAACACTTTTCTCTAAAGGCTAAAAATGCACATTGTCCAAAGAGGGCTCAGCCAGCCTCCTGGCTCACTGACCTTCTCAGCCATGGCATCCATGTAGTCCTGGCGCTGGTATTCTCTCCGGCGCAGATGCCTGTACACATGGAACTCTCCACTGCCAGCCCCAGCACTTGAACCTACAGCCAGAACAGTCCAGAGTTCTAGATGAAATCCAGTCACCAACACAGGCTACCCTTAAATGAAAGGAAGAAACTGGAAGTAATGGAAGAGACCAGGCCTTTCTCCCCACCGCACCTTAGGGCCCAGCTTATTGCAGGCATCATTATTTGTTGCAGCAATGCTGAATGTGAAGTCACTAAAAATCCCACTTTAATGTAGTATAAGAGGAGGAGCAGACCATGGTTCAGTGACCTCCTCCCTTTCCATGATTTCACATTTGACATGCTGGATTTCTAGTAAGTCGAAACCATACTCATGTTATATTAAATGAAGTGAGCTACAAAATAGTATAATTAGAAAATCACATTTTTGTAAAAGTGTTGCTTTAGTGGGGATGTTTGGCCCCCCAACTTCATGTTAAATTTGATCCCCAGTGTTGGAGGTGGGGACAAATGGGAGGTGTTTGGGTCATGGGGGTGGATCCCTCATGAATGGCTTAGAACTGTCCTCCAAATGAGTGAGTTCTTGCTTTGTTAGTTCCCATGAGAGCTGGTTGTTAAAAAAAAAAAAAAGCCTGGTACCTCCCTTCCCTCTCTCTTGCTTTCTTTCTCACCATGTGATCTCTACACATGCCAGTTTCCCTTCCCCTTCTGCAACAAATGGAAGCAGTTTAAGGCCCTCACAGATGCAGGCACATGCTTCTGGTATAGCTTGTAGAACTGTAAGCCAAATAAGCCTCTTTTCTTCATAAATTACCCAGCCTCAGGTACTCCTTTATAGCAACACTAAAAGAACCAAGACAAGCATTTTCTTTTTTTTGAGACAGGGTTTCACTCTGTCACCCAGGCTGGAGTGCAGGGGTGCAATCACAGCTCACTGTAACCTAGAACTCCTGGGCTTAAGCAATCCTCCTGCCTCAGCCTTCAGAGTAGCTAGGACTACACGTGCGTGCCACCATGCCTGGCTAATTTTTAAAATTTTTTGTAGAGGCAGGGTCTCACTATGTTGCTCACAATGTTGCTAGCTACAAACTTCTCTCCTATGGCTTTCTCACCTCTCTCAGCCTTTATAGAACTGAAAAGAGGGCCTTGCTTTGGATTAAGATTTGGCTTAAAGAAATATTGTGGCTGGTTTGATCTTCTATCCAGATCGCTAAAACTTTCTCCACATCAGCAATAAGGGTGTTTCATTTTCTTATCATTTGTATGTTTACTGGAGTATCACTTTTGATCTCCTTCAAGAACTCTTCCTTTGCATTCACAACTTGGGTAACTGTTAGTTCAAGAGGCCTAGGTTTTGGCCTGTTGCTTTTCATATGCCTTCCTCATTAAGCTTAATCATTTCTAGCTTTCAATTTAAAGTGAGAGACTTGTGATTATTCCTTTCACTTGAATTCTTAGAGGCCTTTGTAGGGTTGTTAATTGGCCTAATTTCAATATTGTTGTGTCTCAGGGAATACAGAGGCCTAAGAGGAAAGAGACAGATAAGAGAACAGTGGTTGGTGGTGCAGTCAGAACATGTATAACATTTATTGATTCAGTCTTATATGTATGCAGTTCACGGCACCCCTAAACAGTTACAATAGTAACATCAAAGATCACTGATCACAGATCACCATAACAGATATAATAATGAAAAAGTTAAAAATATTGTGAGAGAATTACCAAAATGTGACACAGAGACATGAAGTGAACACATGCTGTTGGAAAAATGGCACCAATAGACTTCCTCAATTCAGGGTTGCCACTGACCTTCAGTTTGTAAAACACAATGCAATAAAATGAGGTATGCCTGTAACTGTAAATAAAAAATAATAAATAGAGGTATAAAAAGTTATAACCACCTGTCACTCCATCGTTCCACTTGTAACATTCTGATATAGCCTTCCAAACCTCTTTATAGTCAAAGCTGCTCATTTAAGAAAAAGTGGGTCAGATATGGTGGCTTGAGTTTGTAACTCCAGCATTTTGGTAGGCTGAGGCAGGAGGATTGCTTGAGGCCAGGAGGAGTTCGAGACTAGCCTGGGAAACATCAAGACCCTATCTCTATAAAAAACAAACAAAAAAACTAGCCGGGTATGTGGCGCACACCTGTAGCCCTAGCTACTCAGGAAGCTGAGCTGCAAGGATCACTTGAGCGTAAGAGTTTAAGGTTGACCTATGATTGCAACACTGCGCTCCAGCCTGGGCAACAGAGTGAGGTCCTGCCTCAAAAAAAAAAAAAAAAAGCAAAGTGAAGCAGTAAGTGTGAAATAGAAGCTGCAGCAAGTTATCCAGAAGATCTACCTAAGATCATTAATGAAGGTGGGTAAACTAAACAACAGATTTTCAATGTAAAATGAAATAGCCTTATATTGGAAGATGCCATCTAAGACTTTCATAGCTAGAGAGAGATCAATGCCTGGCTTCAAAGGACAGACTGACTCCTTTGTTAAGGGCTAATGCAGCTGAAGACTTTAATTTGAAGGCAATGGTCATTTACCATTCAGAAAATCCTAGAGTCCTTAAGAATTATGCTAAATTTACTCTGCCTGTGCTCTATAAATAGAACAAAGCCTGGACGACAGCACATCTGTTTGGTTTACTGAATATTTTAAGCCCACCATTGAGACCTACTGCTCAGAAAAATATTCCTTTCAAAATATTACTGCTCATTGACAATGCCACTTGGTCACTCCAGAGCACTGATGGAGATGTACAAGGAGATAAATGCACAGGCATGTTGTTTTCATGCCTGTGAACATAACATCTATTCTGCAGCCCGTGGATCAAGAAGTAGTTTTGACTTTTAAGTCTTACACTTTAAGAAATAGATTTTGGGTCTATTTCTTTTTTTTTTTTTTGAGAGAGTCTCACTTTGTTGCCCAGGCTAGAGTGAGTGCCGTGGCGTCAGCCTAGCTCACAGCAACCTCAAACTTCTGGGCTCAAGCGATCCTGTTGCCTCAGCCTCCTTGAGTAGCTGGGACTACAGGCATGCACTACCATGCCCAGCTAATTTTTCTATATATATTAGTTGGCCAATTAATTTCTTTCTATTTATAGTAGAGACGGGGTCTCACTCTTGCTCAGGCTGGTTCAAACTCCTGACCTGGAGCAATCCGCCCGCTTTGGCCTCCCAGAGTGCTAGGATTACGGGTGTGAGCCGCCGCGCCCGGTCTCGGGTCTATTTCTTATGGTGGCTTAACCCTATAATCCCAGTGCTTTGGGAAGTGAGGCAGGAGGATCACTTGAGTACAAGACCAACCTGGGCAACATAGGGGGACCCCATATCTACAAAATAAGTTTTTTTAAATAAATAGATTTTGTAATAGCTGCCATAGACAATAATTCCTCTAATGGAATGGAAATGGAAAACCATCTAAAAAGGACCCACCATTCTAGATGCCATTAACAACATTTGTGATTCATGGGAGGAGGTCAAAATATCTGTATTAACAGGAGTTTGTAAGAAGTTGATTCCAACCTCATGGATGACTGTGAGAGATTCAAGACTTCAGTGGAGAAAAGAATCACAGATGTGGTGGAAATAGCGAGAGAACTAGAATTAGAAGCAGAATCTGAAGATGTGACTGAATTACCACAATCTCATGACCACACTTGAACACATGAAGACCTGCTTCTTATAGATGAGCAAAGAAATTGGTTTCTTGAGAGGAAATCTACTCCTGGTAAAGATGCCATGAACATTATTGAAACAACAACAAAGGATTTAGAATATCCCATAAACTTAGTTGATAAAGCAGTGGCAAAGTGTGAGAGGACTGACTCCAGATCTGAAATTTCTTCTGTGGGTAAAATGCTATCAAACAGCATCACATACTACAGGGAAATTTTTTGTGAAAGGAAGAGTCAATTGATACATCAAACTTCACTGTTGTCTTATTGTAAGAAATTGCCACAGCCACCCTAACCTTCAGTAATCACCACCCTGATCAGTCAGCAGCCATCAAAACTCAGGCAAGGCCCTCTACCAGCAAAAACATCACGACTTGCTCAAGGTTTAGGTGATCATTAGCATTTTTTAGCAATAAAGTATTTTTAAATTACGGTACACATACTGTTTTTCAAGCATAATGCTACTGCATACTTAACAGACTTCAGTATAGTGTAAACATAACTTTTATATGCACTGGAAAATCAAAAAATTTGTGTGACTCACTTTATTGGGGTGGTTGGGAACCCAACACATACATCTCTGAGGTATGCCTGTAGTATATGCTAATTTGTAATTCAAAAAAATAATAGAACTATTTCCATTTAGAAAAAAATATAGTGCATTAAGAATAATGCAGAAGAAAATTCTCTAGTGCCAAACCATAAGCAACTATACCCCTTCAGTGTAAAAGCAAACTATTGGAGCAGTGAACATTTTTTTTCCTATCAGAGATCTAATTAACAAATACTAACTTCAGGGTTTTTATATCCACCTTTAAAAATTATATTCACACACACACACAAATGACATTACCCATTACATCTCGGACAAATTCTGGGGGCGGTCGAGGTGCCCATTCACTCATTTTTTCTGGAATTGGAACTGCTTTGTCCTGAAACATTTAAACATGAAAGCATTTGTAAGTATAAACTTGTTGACAAAGTTACACCTCTTACGACCAAAGATTTTTATTCGATTAGTTAAGGAGGGCTGCTCTGCTCCTTGGACCCAGAGCTGATTTTATCTTCTTTCCTCTGTCTTGCCTTTACTTCATCCTGTACGCTCTGGGATATAACAGCCCACACCTTCCCACAGCAGAACTCAGAAACCTAAGCCACCGTTCATGGCTAGAAATCTCCAACTTTAACACTAAAGGAGAAAAGTCAAGCTTTCCTTTCCAGTGAAAGGTATAAGAGACCCTCTCACCAAACTGTTTTTATGATTGAGGGGACAGAGGCCCGGAAGGGAGGGGGAAGGAGTGACTTGCTCCAAGTGTCTCGGCCAGTCTCTCCCATAGTCAGTGCTGTTTGGAAGAAATAAACTCTTTTGTTAACTCACACATTCTATCTTTTTAGCCTAACGCTTTAGTTTACAGAAAGTTAAACTAGAAAGGGTCACAGAGCACAGGAAGCCACTCCATAGCGCCTTCATCCAGGCTGGGCTCTAACACAAGACAGACAGGAAGCTCACTATCTCCAGAGCAACCTACTCCTTCCCAAGAACTGCTTTGGGGAGCCGAATACTGAGTTTCTGAGTTTGGAGGCAGGAAGGTGGTGGGCCTTGGATGGGCTGTGGATCCCAGGCCTTGTCTCACCGGGCTCTTCATGAGCCGCTCCAGCTTGAGCCTCTGCTCCTCTGCCGCATTCTTGGGGATGACAAGCGCCTGAGGCTCTTTCTTCGGCCTCGGAGGTCGCACCGAGGAGGCTGCTGAGCTCGCCATTACAGCTTTCCTACTTTCCCCTGCGAGCCACAGTGGCGGCGCGCATGTGTGACGACAGAGCCGCGCGCCGGTGACGCACGCGCAGTCATCGAGCAGGGAGGAGGGGCTAGGGCAGACTTACACGCCGGAAGCAGCCTGCTGAATATTCATGAGTCCCCGGCAGGCTTGGGTTGTTTTGATAAAAGCTGTTTGGCTTCATTTCCTGTTTCTGAACAAATCAGTGCACCTCAAAGCTCTCTTCCCCTGTAGAGTGGTGGCCCTCGGTGCCTGAGATGGCCGGCCGCTGCCGACCTCTCCAGTCCCTGTGGGCGACATCGCGCCACTGCATGAGGCTGTCAGCACCTCCTCCTGCTCGGCTCTCCTAGCCTCTGGGCTTTGTCTTGGCGATTCCTTGGGTCTGGTGCCCTACTCCGTTTCAGACAATCTCCTGTTTATATTAACCCAAACATGTCAATGAGCTCCCCGCAGACTGGGGCCTATCTCCTTTTTCCGCCCTCCCTGGATACGTACCTGGCCCCCAGCAAACACACCTCTGCCGAGAGAATGAGCCTTTCTTAGGAGAAAGAGAAAAGCCGCTCTTTCACAGCTAGGCCTTGGTATTCTGCTGAACGTAAATAATTTATCAGGACACCAACATCACTTAAGGCCATTCTGTGACCATGGTGGAGCAAGACATAGATCTCTGCGATCATGTTTAAACTCATAATTCATATGAAAACAAATTGTTCGTACTAGAAAAAAAAATCATCTCGCTATTCTGGCTAATATGAATGCTGCTTCTTTATAGCGTTAGACTCCACTCATTTCTCTCACGTTAAATATTGTGGAGGTTAACTTTATGTGTCAATTTGCTGGGCCATGGAGTGCGCAAATACTTGGTCAAACACTATTCGGGGTGTATCTAGGAGGGTGTTTCCGGATGAGATTAACATTTAAATTGGTCAACTAAGTAGATTCCTGGCCACATCAATGGTCCGCCACATCAATGGTCCTTGTGCAATCAGTTGAAGGCCTGAATAATTCAGAACAAAAAAGCTGACCCTCCTCCAAGAGAGAATTCTTACTGTCTTATGGCTTCAGAACTATCCTAGTGGTGGAACTGAAACATCTGCTCTTCATAGGTCTCGACCCTGCAAGCCTTCAGATTGCGGCACTGGCTCTCCTGGTTCCCCGAACTTCCGACTTGAACTGGAGTTACACCATTGGCTCTCCACTTTCCCAAATTACCCTGCAGATCTTGGGACTTGTCAGCTTCTATAATTGCACAAGCCAAGTCCTTTTTAAATACATCCTGTTGGTTCTGTTTTTCTGGAGAACCCTAATACAAATATTTGTTAAGATGTCTAATTATAGAATTGTCCTCACTTCCTGACAGCGTCTAATCCAGAGCAAAAGAGCACTTACTTGAATCCTCCCTCAAATCGCCTAACAAAAGCCCAAATCCTATAATGAGCCCTTTCCAGCACCCTCTAACTGAGGTAAGTGTACTCTTCCTTTTAGCAACAAGCAATAAACCCAATTTGCTCAAATAAGGGTGTGTTCCTGGAAGTCTGGTTTTCTTGTTTGTCATTTGCCATCCCCTAGATGTCTTGTTCACTGCTGTATCCCAGTGCCTGGGGCAAGGCCTGGCCCACAGCAAGGGATTCAGTAGACATTTGCTGGGTGAACATGGGATCTTGGGGGGTAGGCACCTCAGATGCCGCTGCTGCTTGCTCAGCCCTGGACAGCACTCCCACTGAGTCCCCAGGGGGATGAACAGGTAGACAAGTGGATGGTACCCAAGGGCACTGTTAGTTCTCTAAAGGCTACTCCTGGCTGCCTAATAGTAGGTGGTTTTCTAGGGCCCAAGGGTGAGTAATTAGGAGAAGTTCTTGAGTGGCCCAGGTCTGCCATCGAAACCTGGGGAGGGCTTGGCCTGGGTGGGAGCATGCACACAAACGCACCCTATATCACACAACCTAGCAGGCTGGTACTTCACCTTTATCCAAGCACTCTACAAAACAAAGAATGTACCTGGAGTGTCTTTTCCTCCCTAGAGAACTCCCACACAACTTTTTTTTTTTTTAGTTTTTTTCCCGGATTCTCAGCATCTAAGCACACAGCTTTCTTAACTTGGCTTAAATGCTGCCTCCTCCATGAAGCCTTCTCTGATTTACCATCACCACCTCCCACCTCTAGACAATAAGTTGCTCCCTTCTTGGTGCTGCCCCTGCTCTGGGTCCCAGCGGCTGGTGTGGTGGTTACCAGAGCACCCTCACCATCTGCCTCCTCACAGGCCTTGGGGGAGGGTTGGACCAGAATCCCAGCACATAACCCTGGCCTGACATACATTGGGTGCTTCCAGAATGCTTACAAACAGAGAAATAAAAGAATAAATGAAGAGTGAATGAATATGTCAATGAGATGACCAAGTGATGGATGAATAAATGAATAAGGAAGTTAACTGAGTGTAAGAAAGAATGAATGAACACTGAGTAAATAAATGGACACTCAATGAGTGAACGAACACACAAGTCAGTGGAACAGCAGAGAGTTACAGAGCCAGGAATGCAGGGCAGAGTCTGTCCGGTTGGCAGGGGTCTCCCTGGCACCCCCAGCTCAGGGTCTGGCACAGAGCTGGTGTATGGCAGATAGCTCTGGATGGAGATTAAGTAATGAATGAAGTGAATGGATGCACAAAGGTGGGGAAGAGTTAAGGCATGTGAGTGTGAAGGAGCTGGTATGTTTAAGTCTGGTCTAAGTTGTTGACATGTTTATCATCCCGATTTTAAGAAAAGGAACTGAGGCCTAGAGGAGAAAGTGACTGGCTCAGGGACACACAGGCTGAAACCCAGTGGTCTGGCCAAGAGTTCATGAGGGCCTGACTGATTGTGTGACTCATGAGCAAATGGGACAAGGCCCCCAGTGGACCCTAGTGGAGGCTGTTCCTGTGGTACCTCCCAGGGCTAAGGCCAGACTTGAGGTCCTCCTCCCTGAGATGAAGCGTGCCTCTCCCAACCACTGGATGCCCCATGAAAGGGGATTCTGACCCAGAGTGCCACCCTATCTGCCACCAGAGGGCAGCAAAGCCCCACCAGCCAGCCACTGGGTGCCTTAAATCCACCTTCCCTGAGACCCAGAACTAGGCACCCAGGGAGCAAGGTCTACCCTCCAGAAGACACCAGAGCTTTGGAGACTGGCAGGCCTGGTGCCAAAGTTTGGCTTCACCCACCCTGGGCTTGGCCAAGCAACTTAACCTCTCTAAGGCTGTTTGCTTATGCACAAAATGGGCACAAGCAAACCTACCTTTGACACTGTCCTGTGGATAAAATGACGTGTGGATGTACACAGCACAGCATCTGATACTCAAGAGTAAGGTCACCACCTATTCCAGTTTGGTCTCAGGACTGAGGGGTTTCCCAGGACATGGGACTTTCAGTGCTAAAACTAGGAGAGTCTCAGGCAAGCCAGGACAGTTGGTCACCCTAGAGGAGCAGACACTTCTACCTCAATCCTTTGAGTGGCAGTTGATAAGGTACTGAAATAGCTTTTCACAAATATCCCATAATCTGAGTTTCACTAAATAGTGATGACAAGAGAATAGATCCACCAAAGGGATAAAAACAAAGATGAAATACACCCACTTTGGAAGAGTTTGTCACTTTCTTATAAAGAAGAGCATACATTTACCATGCAATCCAGCAATCTCACTCCTAGGCATGTACCCGAGAGAAGTGAAAATACCTGTCCACTGAAAGACCTGTGCATGAATACATAAAGCAGCTTTATTCATAATTGCCAAACACTGGAAAAAACTCATATGGCCATCAACTAGTGATCTGTCCATGCAGTGAAAGGAAGAAACTGTTGATATTTGTGACAACATGGATGAATCTCAAAAGCTTTTGAGTGAAGTTAGATCTAAAAGGCTACATACAACCTAGCCAGGCACAGTGGTTCACACCTGTAATCCCAGCACCTTGGGAGGCTGAGGCAGCAGGATCACTTGAGGCCAGTAGTTTGGGGCCAGCCTGGGCAAAAAAGCAAGACCCCCATCTCTACAAAAAAATTTTTTTTTTTTTTTTTGAGACAGAGTCTCGCTTTGTTGTCCAGGCTAGAGTGAGTGCCGTGGCGTCAGCCTAGCTCACAGCAACCTTGAACTCCTGGGCTCAAGCAATCCTTCTGCTTCAGCCTCCTGAGTAGCTGGGACTACAGGCATGTGCCACCATGCCCGGCTAATTTTTTCTATATATATTAGTTGGCCAATTAATTTCTTTGTATTTATAGTAGAGACGGGGTCTCGCTCTTGCTCAGGCTGGTTTCGAACTCCTGACCTCGAGCAATCCACCCGCCTCGGCCTCCCAGAGTGCTAGGATTACAGGCGTGAGCCACCGCGCCCGGCCTCTACAAAAATGTTTTAAAAAATTTGCCAGGTGTAGTGATGTGCACCTATAGTTCCAGCTACTTGGGAGGCTGAGCCAGAAGGATCACTTGAGCCCAGGAGGTGATGAGGTTTCAGTGAGCTATGATGATGCCAATGTGCTCTAGCCTGGGCAACAGAGCAAGGCCTTGTCTCAAAATAAAAATAAAAAATAAAAGGCTACAACCTGAATGATGCTACTTACTTGACATTCTGGAAAAGCCAAAATGATAGGGACAGAAAACAGTTCAGCAGTTGCCAGGGGCCAAGGGTAGGAGGTGGGGATTGACTTCGAAGGGCCCAAGGGAACTTACTTAGGTGACAGGAATGTTCTAGATCTGAATGGTGGTGGTGGTTATGTGACCATATATGTTTGTCAAACTCATTAAACCATATAATTTGAAAGGGTGAATTTAATTGTATGAAAATTGTACCTCAATAAACTTGACCTAATAAAGAACGGTTAACTTGCCAGGTTGCCAGGAAGCCAAACTTCCATTGTCTGGGTGGTTTTGGGGAGCAGCCAAGCCTTTAGCCCACTGTGTCCACCCAGGACAGCTCAGGCCCTGAATCTGCCCTGCCCAGCGTGGGGCCAAGGGGTGGGGCAATAAGCTTTCCAAAGCCCAGAGGCCAATGTGGATGAAGGCGCCACACTTCAACCTCTGGG